ATAACTAAATTCTGTGGGGAATAAATAAAACTTATGAAGATGATGCAGTAGCTATTTTGATAGTAGTAGGAAACTGAACCAAAGAAAATGTCTCAAGAAAGAGTATTGTAGAACAGCTCTGAATGCTTGGTCACAACAGGTTCTTCCCAGCTGTACAAGCTCCCAGAAACATTTCTCAGCCTAAGATGAACTTGTATTTATTTAACTTTTTTGTGGTATTTCTTCCTGCTTCTGAATTTATCAATAAAATCCTGGTTTTATTTAAGATAACTTGTGTATGTCTTGGATAAAATAAGCAAACAAAAAGGCCTCTACTCTTTCCTTTGAGGCTGAGAGTAGGACCGAGACAGTTAATGGCCTTGTGGTTGGACAGTTCATAGGAGAAGTTTGAGACTCTCCCCGGCCGTGACCACAGACTTTCCAGAGTTATTATCAGCAAAGGAGAAGGTAATGATAGAAATATAGATTGTGTTATAGATTGTGTTAATTACCAAGAAAATACATGTCTATAATGTGACTTTAGTCAAAGTTAAACTTGACTTTGCAATTTCAAATGTTCTGGATCACCCTGGGAGCAGGGAAGATATCATCAGCATGCTGTTTTAGTTTCCACAAAAGCACTTCACCTTGCTATAGGTTATGGAATTTCATTCATTAAGAAACAGGATTTGTGTTAAGATAATGAATATTAAATGTTGAGAGCAAACACATTCAGTCTGAACTATACCTTTTTTAAAGCTGGTAATATTTCAGTGCCAGAACCAACTGGATTTTTACTCAAAATACTTGACTCGAGGCATGTCACTGTTGGGCAGAAAATGAAGAGTTGGTGTCATGGCCAGCAGAGCCCAGCAAAGCCAGGCTTGCTTTATTTAAATAGTATATGTGGAATATCCACAAATAATTTTTTTTTTTTTTTATTTCACGGGTAGGTATTATTATTTTTAGTCTTAAAAGGGCCAAGGGGTTAACACAAATCTGAATAATTGAACATCCTGTAAAATACAAATTGTGATCGGATTTTCACAGCCATCACAGCTGCACAGAATTCTGTCAGCTTCTCCTGAAGAGGAGAACACTCCTGTGATTTCAGTTTCATGTTACTTTAAGGGACATAAGTTACTTTGGTTACTATCCCATTTGTAACAAGAATGTTGTGTTTTAAACAGGAAAGCATTTCTTATCTTTGGGAGTCAGAAGTTCCCTGATTCAAGAGTGATATTCACAAAATCTGTGCACTGCCCATCTGTTGTAGTAAGATGGAAAACCCAGCAGCATTAGTCTAGCTACAGTTACCTTCTGGCAGTACTTTATTGTTACGCTCATGAGAAGCAGTCAGCCCTGTTGTACCTAATTGTGGGTAGGCAGGAGTAGCAGGGTAATCTCACTGCCCCAAAGAATTTCCTGTCTACTTGGATAAGGCTATTGGAAAGGAGGATGTAGTGGACAGAGTTAACAGTATGTGATAGAACATATGATACTGTTTAAATGATTTTTGTTGGGTTGGTTGGTTAGGAAGTGCTGAGTCAACTGGGATAAGACTTTCAAGGAAAGAAGACAAAGTTAAGTGCTGGAGAGAAAACCATGCAAGAGTGTTATTGCAGAGTCCAGCTGAGGAATGAGCAGTGGGAAAAAGATTGAGAACAAGCAGCTGAGGAGCACGGGATTGAGGAAGCCCTGCCACAGTCTGGATGCTCTGTGCTTTTTGCTTTGGAAGGTTCTGTAGCTTCTCCTGCTGTCTGGGGAGTTCCAGTTTATTCTTCCCCAGCTGATTTTCTTTAGACAGTATGTCTGGGAAGGAAGGAAAAAGCTGCACCTAAATTCTTGCAATTTAAAATTATGTTCTCCCTTAAATATGTTGTGATACAGGACAGTCCAGGAAAGTGAAATTGTCCTTGTTGAGACCTTTTTAGGGTTTTTGGTCTCTCTTTATTTGCAACAGGCCCTGAACCTTGCTGTAGTCCTGCCTCACTTGTGCTTGTAATACCACAGTTTGTATCAGTCCCTGTTTTTGGAGCTTGATTCTATTGTTTTCACCCACTGATTTTTTTAAAAAGTACTCAAAGCTACAAAAGCCCTGGAAATATTGAATTCTGTTTCTTTTTCTAAAATGGAATTCAAAGTTATTTATTTTACTACCCTATCTCTGGATATATTTTTGACCCTCTGCTTTTTTATGTTGCTTTGTGAATGACCCCCTAAGAGAAAAAAAACTAACCAGATGGAAAATTAATGAAACAAGCAAGCTTGAAATTGCCATCAAAGTACATAGAATAAATTAGCTAAGGCCAGACATTTTTCTTCAATACATCTTATGTTCTTCCTAAGTATTTATGCTGACATCATTATCCAAAATGCATTATGTTCATATGCTACTGAAGAATGACAAATAGCTCAAATTATTAAATTGCATTTGATTTGACTGCTAAAGTTTATTGGGGTACAGTATAGGAAATCAGCCTGTCTGTCAGCTTGAAACTATCTTCCTATAGAGTCTTTGAATAATTTAAATCTTCTGTCTCTTCTGTTTTCTTTTTTGATCCTTAAGAATTCTAATTAAGAATTCTTCGGAGTTGTGTCTTAGCACAAATAATCTTCTGTGGCACTATGCTGACTGTACATTTTTGTACTGTGCAGGAGTTTTGAAAAACATGATAAATAAGCTACCATGTTTTCCAGTGCTTGAGATGTCCATTTACCCCTGTTCCCCATGTTAGTGCAGATACATTATTATGTAAATATATATATCCCGCCCACTAAAATGTGTAATAACTAATAGGATAGTTGAAATCAGAGCAGTTAAAAAAAAAGATATATATATAATATATAATCTCTTTTGGGTCACTTTGAACTTCAGTGTGGGAGAGCTGGATTTAAGAGCAGATGAGTACAGAGCCAAGTCTGGTATGAATTACTGCAAATACTTGGACCTATAGAAAGATACCCATTTCTTAATAGTAACTTCTCTTAATTAAAATTTTATATTCCATGTGTGGTATTAGTTCATACATTGCTGTTTACTGGATTTTGTCTGATAATTGCTACTGTAGATCATCAGCCATAGTATTTTTACATGGCAAAATACAGAAGAAAAAACCCAGAAATATTAATATAATATAAATTGGATGATTTAGTCAAATAAAAGTAGACATGGACTCTCAGAAGTTAGTAAAATGAAGCACATTGCAAGTGTTGTCTTATCAAGATTTTTCTGTTGGAAACAGCAAGGCAACCATACCATACGATTTCTGTGAAAATGTACATTACTACTACAGATTCATGAGGTGTTATATGCTGCCAAAGTAGTGATTACTTAAGGAAAAATAAAAATAATACAGAGTGTTTCCAGATTTGTCATAGAAACAAGGATCACAATACTGCAGGAAGCAGGGCTAATTTGAAACATGCTTAAGATTGTTCTTATCTAAGTTAAGATCTGGAAAAGTGGAAGGAATATTCTCGGAAAAACCGGTGACCATGAAAACATAGTGTACATCATGGTATATTACGCTGCTGTGAATGCAGAATTTCTAATAGCAGGTGAAATCTCTGTTGATATTTTTGGGTAGTAAAGGTGAGTAAATGAAAAAAAAGTACAGTAGCAAATTGTCTTCATGAAATGCAGATATACTGGGGCTATGAAGAAGCCACTTTGGCTGCTTGTTGTCATGTAAGCATAGAATTGCTTGAGCAGAGACTGCAAAGAAGGAAGTGTCCTGCTTATCATGCCTTGTTGCACATCAAAGCTTTTGCCCTTGGATGCTTCCTGCAGCAGAACTTTGGAAAGTGTTAAGATGAAACACTGGAGTAAGTGGGTGATGGACGGATGATCAGGTGTTTACAAGGCCTGACTGTGTAGGTGTGTAAGCTGACTCAACCTTTTGGAAAGGTTAGCAGAAGCAAGGCACTTGCTGGTAGTCAGGGTGGCTGCACAAGACCATTTAGAGCTGCAATTCTGAAAAGAGAGAGGGGGAGACTTTTGCTCTTTCAGTGGTTGTGAGAATCAAGATGACGTGAATTTAGTGATGAACTATGAAAAACTGCCTACTGATTAAAGGTAAGAAAACAGTAAAGCTTGTCTTCACTGCTGTAAAGCCATCTAAAGAGTGTGCCAGGTTTTACTGGAAGTAATTGTAACAATTCAAAATGAATAAATTTTGAATTTATTTTTACCACTGTATCTTTCAGGGGTTGATGGAGAAGTGCATCTTCTGCATAGAAAACACAGATCCTCTTGATAATTTTAGGACTGCTTTATCTGTACTTTTGTCAGTTTTAATAATTGTTACAGTCCTGTTTCTTGGATTCTTCCTCTTGTTTTTAATAACCCTTATGCTTCCTGTTCTGCGGCACTGCCTAAATTTCTGCCAGCACAATCATAATTTTACTTAATCTTCATCCATTTCCTTATTTGTTTAATGTAAATTGAAATATTATTTAGTCACCAATTATATTTTCCCATTATATTCTTTTATAGTGGTATATTTATCATGTCTTGAAAGCTAATGAATGATAGATCTAGAGTTTGGTGTTTCCCAACAAGATGAGGAACATCAGCTAGAAGGAGCAAAGTTTTCCTGTACCCTGATGGACACGTGGGAACCCAGCCTGGTAGCTGTGGCTCATGTCCTTGTTGCTGAGGCTTTCAGTAATGGCATAGCAGTATTGATGTTGCTTTGGGCACATGTGAGATGAATGTTGCTTTAAAATGCTTTTCAAATAAAAAATTGAAGTGTCTATCCTAGTAATGGCAGCCATACTAAGAATAATTGTTGGTTCTAATAAATAGTTTTGTTGGTTCTAATGATACAGTTTATGTCTATTGTTTAGTTCTTTAGCCACTAGAATTTTTTTACCTGTTAACAGTTCATTTTTAATTGTAGGCTTATTTCAGTCTTACATATTGTTGGACATAATAATACAGAACAGGTTAGTAATTGCAAAAGAGTCTTCATTGTGATTTCTTTTGTCTCATGATGGTGGTTGTTGTTGTTGTTTAGGAAACCTGAATTGACTGACTCTGCCTCTCTGCTAGAGACCTTCAAGTTTCTTGAAAATGCAGCTGCAGATTTCAGTGATGAGGAAGATGAAGAAGATATTGAAGGAAGAGAGAAAACAATCATTGATACTGCAACAGTGAGTGGAAAAAATAATTGAAAAAGTTACGAAGAACAGAAAAAGTGAGATTAATGAGGTGCCTATAAGCAAAGTATATGACTGTGTATGTACACATGCAAATCATGAATACATCTTTATGATGTTCTGTCCAAGCATGTGTGCATAAGAGGAATTATATATGCATTTCTAAGTTTGTGCATACAAGTTATGCTTTGCCATCTTTATTGCTCTAAGTTAAATTAAATTTTTCTAAAATTCTCTTTACTATTCCATGCTGACTAGTGTTTTTGAACTGGAACATGATTTTTAAGGTATCAGATGTCCTTTTTTTACAGTTCTCAGCTTAGTTTGAAGGTATTGTTCATAATGTTACATGTCAGTAATTATTCTTGAATATTTATTAAAAAATATTGATACTTAAAATGACTTGTAGAAAGTTGTCTTAGAGTACAGAACTGAAATAGAATTGTATTTATAGCTTGTCGAAGGAAGAAGTGTAACTGGAAGAACTCTAATGTAGTTAGGAAATTTTTTTGTTTGTTCAGTCAAATGCCTTAACCTCACTCGTGATCTATACTTCACTATATGATTTGTTCATATGGTCACATAGATACATGCAATCATTATTCCTCTTTAAAATTAAATTTATTCTGTGAATTGTGTTTCCTAAAAATTGAAGCAGATAAAAGGTGATGGATGTGGTTGTTTCTATGGTCAGTTTTAAGAATTAACACTAAAAAATGGATTGGTTTTATGGCATTTTTAAAGGGGATCTTTTCGGATCATTTCTGTCATTCATGGACTCAACTAATGTCTGAGACTCTTCTAGTAAGTTCTATATAATATACAGTATGTTCCCTAAGCCTGCTGAGGAAATTAAGCTTGAAGTTTAGAATTGCTTCAGGTTTAGAAATTGGTTCACTGTATTTAGAGGAAGTACAGTCACTCATCCTCATGAGCTGTGGGATGTTGGACTATGTATTGAAGTCTTTACAGACTGACCCTTATCAAGGTTCCAAGTCAAAACATTTGATTAATGTAAATTTTCTATTTCTGTAGAAGTAAAAATTACGGTACAGTTTTCATGTATCATGTATCAGCTTACCAGTTGGTCAAATAACTGCAAAGAATCTAGTTCGTTTTGATTATTGAGGGAAAAGTGAATTTTTTGTGGAAAACTGAAGATTAAATTCTTCATTAAAACATTTTTTTTCTTTTACCATAATTTGCTTTTGAATCTGAGAGGGAAATGCAGTTTTAGCATGCTTAATTTGTAATAACATCTGAAAAAGCATTCAGGATGGAATGACTTACAAAGTCTAAGAAGATCAGTTCTTGTTAATTCCAGGGTTTGGGGTTGGTTTATTTGTTTCCTGGAGTTGTGTCTTGGTCCACATAGAGAATGATTTCAGAATTGAAAGTTAGGCTATTTTCAGAGAGGCAGACTGAGATTGGTTTTGCTGAAGTCTTTTCTATGGCATTCTTGTTTTTTTTTTTTGTGGGTTTTATGTGTTTTTCAAAAATGTTTTAAGAGAAAGTTTGAACATTCTGGTATTAAAAAAAAAGATAGTAGTGGTGTAGATTAGTGTAGGTTCATTTTCCACATGATTGATCATTGATGGCCATAGGAAAAAAGAGCTACCCACAAGTTTCATTTTCACTTAGAAGTTTGAACAAAGTCTGCATATTATTCCAGATTTGCTTATTAATGTGTACTTTTCTGCTTCCTCTTCAACTTCCTGTTTGGATTTTGCATAGAGGACAAGACAGTACTGCTTGGATTAAAATTGTGTTTGTAACTTAATTCAGCTTTTTTTTCCATTTCCTTTCTGACCCTTCAGATTGTAAGGAAAAGAGTGTTATCTGATAGCAGTGAAGACAGAGATACAGAAGAAGCTTTGAAAGAGTTTGACTTTTTGGCTACCTCAGATGATGGTGATGGGGAATCAAGAAGTTCGGGAGATGGAACAGACTGGGGTAAGGAAATTTGATGGATCATACCTGGAGGGGAAAAAAAAAAAGTGCTAAGAATATATTGTGACTGATCAGTTCACTGAATGAGCTCTCTGTCAGGATCATAGTATCTTTTGATTGTTTCTACTATTTCTATTTCTGTTTTATTATCAGTAAATAATTGGCAGACTGAAGTCTTCTTGATACGATATTCTCTTTTTTTTCTGTTCACTCCTTTAATGTAAAGAGTCTTCAAGGTTTTTGCCTCAGGTCATTTTTCCTTTCCTTTAATTCTAAGGCAGATAGAATTTAAATTTTATGGGTGGTATTTCAATGTATTTTTCCAGTGACCCATGTACATGAAGGGCTCTGATAAAGCTGTATTTTCCAATTGTGATATGCAAGTTATTTTGTCATTTTTGCTTTCTTCCACTTTGATGCAGAGAGTAATGTGAGTCATAAAATCCAAATTAGTTGTACTCTTATTGTGGGTTAGTAATTTAGTTAATATGAACTGTTCAGTTGCTCTAACTTTCTTTTATAATTTAGCAGAATAATGTATCTTTAAGTCTGCTAGTCATAGAGAGACATTTCACAAACTGCTCTCTGTCTTTTGAGGTTCACATCCTGCAGGTCAAATTGCCACCATCCAGTTTACCTTGACATAATTAATCTGCCCAAATCCTTTGTGTAGAGAAGGGGAGAAAGAAGGAACTGGTTAAATACCTTGATAAGAAGTTGTTTCCTACTTAAGCTGCTCTGGAAAGTCTTAAGGATAAGTGGACACAGAGGGGGCTGTTGATGATGATGGGAAATAATTGAGCTGCAACTGTGACAGACTGATAAGCCATGGTAGCTGTGGCTCTCACATGAGCTGTTGGCTCCAAGATGTTGTATTTCACTAAAGCCATGTCCATCTCCTGGCTGGACTCCAAGTTACTGTTCAGTGTGGTGTAGTCTCTGCTTAAGAGGATGTTGTAATATCATTATATACAGCAGCCAGTATTCTATTCACCAAACAAATTTAAAAATACTTCTCTTAAAAAAAATCAGCTACTGCTCTTTACTACTAAATACTAAAATTTTGTACATTTATGCTTGGCCAGTGCAGCTATTGCTGCATCTGTGTCACCAAAAAGTCAGTATCCCAGCAGGAGCTTTTTATTCTCTAATTCACACATCTGGTTTATTTTTGAATTCATTGATGACATCTGAGTACAAGTGAGCGGAAGTCTAACATTTAAAATAAATTGCTTTGAAAAATAGTAGTTTCATTTCCAGAAATGCAAAAGGTTTTTTTTTTGAGTTAGAGGTATTCATGTTTTTCAATTACTTCTTTCACAACCTGTGTCTTTAATGGTAGCTGTAGATGAGACTAAGTTTCTTCAGGGAGCTCCCTTTATAAATCACTTAGGTCAATTTAAGTGAAACTGTTAAATGCAGTACAGTAGAGTGATATTGTTGTAGTGAGTGACAGCAGCAAACAGAGGAAATTCTTTCTTTATTTTGGATTCCAAGTATTACTGCTCAGTTACAGTCATCTGTTGAACCCATTTGTCTTGAAAGGTCCTCAGATGTTTTCTGGTAATTTTTAAACTATAAAGCACTTGAATAGCAATAATTCAGGATCTACTTCTGAAGTAGAATAGTATCTCTGGGACATGTGGGAAGCACGCTGGGACAGTCTGTAGAAAATTAATATATTGGGTGTTATCCTGGCAAAAACACAATCTAATAAAAATCTATTTAAAAAAATTTTTTTTTGGTTGTTGTTGTAGTTGTTGTAGGAGAGAAAAAAGTAATGTCTAGGCAGGGAGGAAAACCATGATAAAACTTCCAAACGAATTCCAGAAAGACTAGCTACTTGTTTCTCTGAAGTATGGTTTTCTTATATATTTTTTGAATTCTTTATGCAATTCTTGCTCATTAGTGGTAATTGAGGTATATGCATTAAGAGGACATGACTTAGCTAATATTCTATTCCACAATCAATTTTAGAGTCTCACTTGAGCTTACTAATGCTTGTTTTCATACCTTTTCTTAAAAGACTTAAGCTGCTAAATTTTGTCATAAGATAATCTAACACTCAATGAGTATAGCATCATGACTGAAGGGTTCAAAGGAGTGAGAAAACACCTTGAAAAGTAGCTTCTCCCTCTGTGATGCAAGTCTGAGCAGAGTTAGGCTCTGTTTTCTCAACATGTGTGCATCAGGTAGTTGGAGGCCCCACTAAGATGCCTTTTTGGCGTCACTGAACTCTCACAGTAGTCTAAGCCCCTCCTTGTAGCTCATCTGCTTCAGCTTCCAGAACCATCTTAGGGGCTCCCTTAGACTTGTTACACTATGCCAATAATAGGTACTTAGGACTCTACCTAAAAGTGTTTCTCAGTATTAAAATTATTATATTGGATGGAGTACTCAAAAGTGTGGTCTCACAAGTGCCCAACACAGGGGAACAGTCACTTCCCTCACCCTCTTGGTTACGTTCTTGTTACTACAACCCAGAATATTGTTAGTTGCTTTTACTGTAAGAATATGTTGCTGAGTCCTGTTGAATTTGACATTGATAGAGGATTCCTAGGTCTTTTCAGCATTATACATTTTTGACAAATCAGTCACAGTAATAACCCATGTGTGGTTTTTTATCTTCTGTCCAGTCATACTGACTCTTTCAGACTGTGATTGATAGTGTTGTGCTTCCTCTACAGACACTTAAGTTCTACGGCTTAGTCTGAGGATAAGTTTATTATTGTTTGTGTTTTGAAAGGTCTAGAATAGCTTATCAATGTAGAAAGCAAATGTGGTCTGAAAGGAATTAATCTTTAAATAATAATAAGGTTGAGATTTTAATGAGAAAACAAAGCAAAAAGATAATGTGTTTCAAAGATTTTGGAGCTGTAATGGTCATGAAAATATATATGAGGAAAAGCTGTGTTACCTCCCCTATTCTCGCAAATTATTTTTCTAAGCTGCCTCAGGACAGCCTCCATATATGGAAAAATTACTTGGGGGATTTGAACTCACATAACAAGTTTTGTTCAAAATCTCTAAATACTGTAGAATTGAAATAGAATTCTATTCTGTATCGTGTCACAGAGGAAGCAATTTGAGGGAGATGTTTAGGAAAAAAAACAAACCCAAAACAAAATACGGGGATTTTTTTGTCATTAGGTATGCTGAAATGTTTTGGACTTTTTTTACAAAGATTACTACCGCAGGCCTTCATCTTTTTGTGAAGTTTCATGGCATTAGTGCTCTAAAGGTTTATTTAAACCACAGTGACATGAATACTGGGTTCCAAAATGATTTCAATGTGCTGCTTTGTGTAAATGACAACATAGCACAAAGACAATAAAATGAGAATTTGAAATGCAGTGGCACAACATCTGAGTTGTAAAGTTATGTTGAGGAGTAACATAGCTGTTTCTTCTACATATAATAATTCTTTCTGTGGAGGAAAGAAAAAGCTGAAAAATACATCCTCATTTATTGTAAAGTAAATGTCGCTTACATTTATGGACAGCTATATGCTTGGTTATGGGAATTAAACACATGAAATTTCATCTCAATTTTTTGATTAAGAACATTCTGAGCAAACAGAAGTGGAATGTGAGTAGCAGTTTTACAGCTTTCACAAGCTTGGTGCTATTTCTGTCTGTTTAAAATAAAAGACAAATGCCGTTGACAGCAGCTGTTGCCTCCTTCAGTGGAGATCACTTGGTGACATTATTGAAAAAGGATGTTTCATTTGTTTCACTTTGTTTAGAAAAGGAAGACCAGTGTCTCATGCCTGAAGCCTGGAATGTCGACCAGGGAGTTATAACCAAACTCAAGGAACAATACAAAAAGGAGCGCAAGGGGAAAAAGGGGGTGAAGAGTAAGTGGAAAACATTGCACCTTAAAATCATAAATCTCACATCTTTCACACCCTTAATTCTATCTCTCTTTCAATGTTTTCCTAAAATTACTTACTCTTTTACTTTGCTGCTCCTGACTGCTTTCCTGTTCACCAGTTCTCAGGGGTTGAAATTAATGACAGACAATCAAGTTACCCAATAAATAGTTGAATTAGATGTAACTTCTTCCAACCAAGTGTTGGGTTAGTTAAAAATTCTTGCTTTGAGCATGGTTTGTACTTTCATTATTCAGATACTTAAATTGTAAAAGGCATTGTTTTAATACTTCACACTTTAATACAGAAGACTTCAGAATTGTTTCTTAGCTGGAAACATGCCAGTTCCACAGGAAGAGTTAAAGTCTGGTATATAAATAAACAAAGAAAGAAACCAAACCGGAAACACTCTTGAGTATCCTATTAGATGACAGTGGGAGAAAACAGGTTAATTTCTACCCCTGTTTATACTTGACATTCACAACATGAAAGTCATGCTGTCATCATAATTTGTTATGCAGGGCTCGAAATAGGAAGCAACTATGACCATCAGTTTATTTGTGAATTCTAGGATTTATTTGTTGACTTTCATATCTCTGAGACTAGCCTTTAAAAAAGTTGGTATTGTTATTAAAAAAAACCAAAACCAAACTGTGAATAGTATCTGAAATGCAGTTTCTAGCCCTGTATTTTTTTGTTACATTTCTTGAAAAACAGATATGTTTTGTAAAATCAATGGGTTTTGATAGGTAAGCTGTAAAACTTTTTGAACTCAGATGAGAGTTTAAAATTAAACACTGTATCCATGGCTGTGTTTCAAATACCTAGCCATATTGAGAATTCATGTGTGAAAGATGTATGTTAATAATATTGCATGTAGCCTGGTAAGAAATTTCAGGGATGTTTCTCCCTTTGTGGGAAGATGCTTATGAATACCAAGAAAATTCTCACTTCCAAAGAGATACGCATAATGGTACAAATATGTCAGACCCTCACGTCATTGAGGCTGACTTGTTTTATTACTTTTTGTATTGATATTCTCATGAGCTGCTGCTCAGCTGTCAGTTATGTGGCTGAAATTATGTTATGAAATACAAAAACTAAACCTCTCTTTTCTTTTCCAAATTTTAAAAAAAAAAAAAGGTGAATAATTACCATGCTTTAAATTTCTCAAGTAATATTTTTGTCATTTTTGGAATAATTTAATTTACTGGAAGTTAATTGCAAGTCTGGCAAGAAGCTGAACTGGCTAACTAAAGTGTTCATGTTTAACAAAATTGATTCTAAATTTCTTTATGGTTAAGATAGGGCATGCCAATGTATTATTACGATGAAAGTGATTTTTGTAACTTGTCTGTTATTTTTAAAATATACAGACATGTTATGTAGTTCAGGGTAAAATAGCTGTAAGGTTAGTTTAGCAGAAATTATTTAATCCAAGTATTGAAATTCTGTTCTTGAACAGCTGTTGTCTTTTTATTTTTTATAAAACTTAATTGTTAATATAGACGTAAACATTATTGGAATATGTTTTATATCATTATGATAAAAACTCATGATGTGAAGACAGCACTGGGGCATCCAGTGCTTCTTCATGAAGATAACTGCTGCTCAGTACCTTTTGGATTGATTTGATTGGTTTGATCTTGGGAGACAAAGTGATTTACTGTAGCAGTGAAATTAAGCATCTTTCCATGGACAAACTATCATTGGAGGAGCATCAATGCAGAAAAATCAGGAAGAATCAGAGCCTGTTTTCAGTTATTCATTATACTGCACATAGTGAAGAAGAATGTGAGGGAGGCTGTCTGGAGAAAAAAGAAGGGACTAAATAACATTAAATTTTACAAAGTTTGTTTCCATTACTTTAATTTCATCATATGTGGTGCTTAGCCACTGAACTGCTACTAAGTAAAATACTGTTTTTATAGTAAAACAATCTTGCAAAATCCTTCTTAGTGTGTTTCTGGATTGAGTAATATTTTGTAATTAAATACAATTTAGTTTATTATCAGTCATTATGGTTAGGGTGGACAACGTAGCATTTTCAACTGCATTAGTAAACTCATGATTTTGCAAGGCTGTAGTAAACATTCCTATGAAGTAATAAGAGAATAGAATCATAGAATGGTTTTATAAGACAATACATATATTAGAGTACACTACTGTGTTAAAGCTGCTTAAAAATAGCTGTATTATTTACTGGTCTAGGAAAAAACATAATGGACTATGGGTAAGACATTTTCCCATTCTTAATTAAACTTACAACAGGAAAAACTACCGAAGATATGTTTCAGCCTCAATCCTATATAAAACAGTCAAAACAGGGATGTGGGAAAATGATGGAGCAAAGCACAGGTAAGTGTCAAGGAGGGCATGGGTCTTCACCATATGTAGCTTCAGGAAGTAGGCCAGTGAATCCAGTAGCATTTTTATTTTAATATAACTTTTTGGATCATATAGTTCACGATACTACACTACTGCACAAATAAATTTAAATTATAATGTTGTTATAAGAATATGCTGCACAAAGTACCTGATGCACAAATTCTAAAATATTCACAGATGTCAGCTATTGTTTTAGCAAAGTAAATCTTCTAATAATCTAAAGTGTGACTCAGTTGGCGACATTCTTCAGCATCCCGTACAAGTAGCACTATGAGTTCATACATATGGGGAAAATTGTGCGTTCACAGTTCTCAGTTGCTTCTGTCACTTTCTTCTTGAAATTCATTTCATGCTGGATGATTAGTTACTGCTGAAATAAGTGCTCATTAGTTTTTCTGTGGTAATGTCATAATGCAAGGTAGGATCCATTGTTGCATGTGCTGCTATAGCATATCTGATATAAGGAGTGTCATCGTGAACTATGCCTAAACCCTTTAATTTTTTGGTTTTTTCTGGTTAGGGCCCAACAGGTCAAAGCTGCAAGATATGCTTGCAAACTTGAGAGATGTTGATGATCTCCCTTCATTACAACCATCTGTTGCACCTTCTTCTAGGCCCAGTAGCTCAAGGCTCATTGAACATGAGATAAACAGGACGGATGAAGGTAAATATTAAAAAAGTGCATACCCCTTTGTAAAGGGTGGATGTTTATAGTTACTTAAGGATTATCCTCTAAGACTTTCCAAGCACTTCAAATTCTGATTGCAAGTTCCAACTGTGATAAATGACATTCCCATTCCTCCATTATGATTGCTATTAGTAAGGTCAAGACACCTACCTAAGTTCAAGTCTTGGCTGAATACCTTGAGCGTGATGGAAAAAAAATAATTTGGCACTTAGTGGCTTTGTAATATGACCATCCTAAATCACTTGCTTTTGTTTGTGGTCAAGCCTGGCAGACAAGCTTGGACCATAAACTCTGAGGACATAAGAGCATCATTTCTTTTCCCATTGACATAATTTTAAGTGTACTTATGTATACATACACACACACAGGCTTGTTCTTTTTTCCCAGGTGCAAAGAGTCCCTGCAGGTAAACACAGATGCCTTACTATAGCCTTCAGAAGCACGTGGTGGTTGTGTAGTGAATCATACCGAACAATTTTCAGCTTGGCAGTGTATAAAATTCTATAACATGTTGCAATAATTAAGAAAAATGTTCATAGGGGCTAGCCCAAGTATGGAGAGCCACGCATGCATCTTTGTAATGAAGCGCTACTATTATGTCTGAAAAATGCCAAGTCATCTGTTTGATTCAATATTTGAATTGCTATAATATAGAGCATAATAACGTATGCTATATGAGGCTGCCAAATATAGCAACCTTCCAGTACCTAAACAGAGCTTGCAAGAGAGCTGGAGAGGGACTTCTTACATGGGCATGTAGTGACAGTACAAGGGAGAATGGTTTCAGACTGAAAAGAAGGCAGGTGTAGATTAGGTATTAGGAAGAAATTCTTTACCGTGAGGGTAGTGAGACACTGAACAGAAAGTTCAAAGAAGCTGTAGATGCCCTGTCCCTGGAAGTGTTCAGTACCAAGCTGGATGGTGCTTTGATCAATCCCATCAAGTGGAAGGTGTCCCTGCCTATGGCAGGGACACAGAACATGGTGTATCTGTAAGGTCCTTTCCAAACCAAACCATTCTATGATTCTGTGGTATCATGTGCTCTATTAAAATGGTAAATACGTGTTTTGAAAAATGTGCAAAACATGAGTTCCACTTAGCAGTCTTTCAGTGAGAGTGAAAAAGTAGGTCGGCCAACTTATAATTAAGATGCATAAAAAGCCCTGGTGTGTGGAATAGTTACCAAAGATCTCAGTGGTTCTGCTTCCTTCATGCTCAGTGATTTTCTTTATGAAAGAAGGGTGTAACTTAGCAACGCTTTGAGAAGTGGAAGAATTTTTTGTTGAATGTTCCCTTTCCAACTTTTCTCACATGTACTGAGAACTATATTAGCAGAGCTCTATTTTCATGTCCTTTCAGTAATGTGTTTTTTAATGCTGAGGCTCAAATGGATTCTCAGAAAAAGGGACAGTTGATTGTTACCAGTCTGTGTTCAGTATTACTATTAGCTGTGTATTTCTTTATAAAGCTGAGACACCATAATATTTTGGGCACACATGTTTTTATTTTTTTATTCTAGTAAGTTTTCAAAACTGACGTCCTGTATGTATTGTGTGTTGAGTGAAATATTGCATTGTGAGTTCAAAAGACAGGAAAAGAGAAGGGTAGTATAGACTTTGGGGTGGAGAAGATAAAAGATGTTTGTGATTTAAAGGTAATCACTAAGAGACCTAACCAAAGAGCAGTGCTTGAAAGGGTTTTATGTGGGCTGCTCCCACCAGCTGTTTTTATCTACATTTTTGTTGCTTCTTCAGCACCTATTTGCATATTTTGTAGCTGAGTTGGGGAAGATATTTTCTGTCTTACTTGTGCATTATATATGGATGAATGGTAGCACACCCTTCCTACCCGTGGCTGGCTCCATTCACTGTCTGGAGTCGCACACACCTCAAGTGTAGGTGTGTTCAGAGGGTGCTGCTTATTGGTAAGTACAGTGATTATCTTTAGAGTAGCTGGTTTTCCATGCATCTCTGTGTATCTTTTTGCCCTTGGCTACTTGAGAGATACGTAGCATTCTGAAAGTGGAAAATGTGCTTTTATTGTGCAGTGTAGTATAAACCTGTGTTTCAGGATTTTTTTGTTTGTTTGTTTTGTTTTCTTGCAGTGGAAGCTTTAACATTCCCTCCATCCTCAGGGAAATCTTTCATTATGGGAACAGATGAAGCCCTTGAAAATGAACTGGGTCTTGGAGAACTGGCAGGCCTTACTGTAGCAAATGAGGCAGATTCGCTGACTTATGATGTAAGTGGTTATTAATGGTAACTCAACATCCTTCTGTCTTGTTGAAGGCAGATGCAAGTTACTTGTATGTAGACTCAGCAGAAAACATTCTCCAGTTAAAATTATGCTGCCAGAGGATGTCACAAAGTTTTACTTGACAAAGCTGTCCTTCCCACACAGCAGCATTCAAGCTCTCTGCAAGCCCCTCTCCTCTCATTTGCCTGCCATGTTATACAAGTGAAAGTAAATCAGTGATGGTGGTACAGCTGGTCATGTGTAACCCAGTGACTGAGCAAAAAAAATATGAATATCATGGCCAGCAGATTGAGAGATGTTTATGTCCCTTCTACATGGGCTGTATGCAGTTTTGGGCCACTCCACTTCAAAGTGGGGTTGTAGAGAATTTGAAGAGCATCCAGTAGCTTCTGACTGATGAGTAGATGTTAAGGCAGCTAGTCTTGCTCAGCTGTTAGGAGGATGAGGAGTGCTTGAATAGCAGCTTGCAGGTGTTAGAAGGGTGCTTGTAAGGATGACAGAGCAAAGCTTCTCCATAGTGCCAGGCATTAAGGCAGGAGAAAACAACAGCAAGTTACACCTTGGGAGGTTCAGGTAAGACACTGGGGGAGAAAGTTTTTTCTGTGAAAAAGCTTGCTCAGAGAAACAGTGGAATCCCTCTCCTGAGAGATATTGAAGACTTGGCTGGAGCAGAGCTGTGGTTACATTACCTGGTGTGGGCAATATTTTCATTTCAAATGGGAAACTGGACCAGAACTCTTTGGAAGGTTCTGTGGCTAAGTGTGTAGCCTTATTTTTCTTGCACTGTTTATGAAAAAATCTTTCTTAAAATGGCATCTTTTCAGTTGTATGCAATTCTTTTCTGTATTTCCGATTTCTTGGGAAAAGATACTTCAGGTATTAATTTAATCTTAATTAAGTCTTAATCTAATTAATTTAAAGATCTGCTCTTGTGTGATCTGTCAGCTTCAGATTAATCATGTCAAGGCTGAGGGATTTCAGAAGTAATTTTTAATTGTGTGCTGGGGAAGAATCCTACCCTTCAGTAAATCTGACTCTTAAATAATCATTATCTGAGATTTTACCATCACAAATGAATTCTGAGGCTTTAGAAATAAGATGCAGGTCCTTACTTTGAAGTTCTACCCCTGTATGCACTTGTAAAGCAATGGAATACATAGTTAATAAAAGCTTATGCACGTTTTCAGAGTGCCACTGTAGAGATGCCACTGTAGCAAGTTTCTGAATATGTGATATGTTATGAATCATCAGTATTGCAATGAATGCAGAGCATTTCTGCTAAAATTCAGTATTTTAATATTATCTCCTAATTTGGTCTCAGTTCTTAATATTTTCATTCATTTTCCCTAATTATGTCTTCAGAAAAGGGGTACGAATGAATTTCTGTTACAGATACTCCTAAAAATCCAAGGCTGGATTTTAAATTCAGAGAACATGACAAACCTAACCCATCTGTGTAAGATGCTTCCATTGCTTGACTCCATTGTGCAAGTGTCCATGTAAACTGTTGTGTTTGTTCATGTCTCTGTATCCTGAACTAACAGCTTTCATTTATGGAGTAGCACTTATCCACTCCAGTCCTTTCCTGCATGGTAGAGAATACTAATTTCTATTTGTTCATTTGTCCAGTGCCTGTATGAAATCCTGTGATCAGGAATTCATAGTCGTGGTTACCTTGACTCTTACCTTTTTCTAGTGCTGACAATTAAAAAAAAAAAATTTACAAAACTGTTTGTTCTGGTTACTGTGCACTTCATTGAAGCAAAATAAAAGGCTGGTGTTTCTATTTCAAGTTTCATTGTAAGTGTAGCTTACAGATAATGTAATGTTTCTATTTTGGACTGTTTCATACATCTGGCTACCAAATATGAACAAGGTATGATTAGTGAAAATTTAGTATGTTATTTTTAAGTGTCAGTTTTCAATCATATGGAGAATTAAGTTGAAAGATCACATGAATCAGTCTTTAAATATATTTGCTTTCAAGAGTGCCAAACACTTTTTCCATTTTTTGTCCCTTTCATCCCACTGACACTTTTGCTGCATTCTTTTCTTCTACAAAATGGCAGCATTAGCCTACCTCATTTAATGGTTTCAGTTTTTTGCATATTGTTTTGACTGTAAATTGAAGAATGGTTTTCACTTGGTAATGGAGATTATGAATTTATTACTTAAAAAACAATTTTTTTTCTTTTGTAGATAGATTTTAGAGTATCTAATGATTAAGTTTGCCAGATTGCTAGCCAATACACTTAAGTTTGCCTCTTTTTCCTTCCTTTACACATTCTTGACAAATGTTTACTTTGGTTGGCTCTGTTTTTTTCCCTAGTTTTCTGAATAGATTAAGCAACTTCATAAAATTATAGTAGTTAAGAGTAGCTGAACTACAAAATCATTGCATTTAATGTTGAATACTGATTTGAAGGTTTTGGATTTCACAGTAGGCCCTTGTTTGATTTCTTACATCTTTGAACAAGTGCCTGTAATTGCATGTCATTGATGGTTTTAGTTCTCGATTTGTTTTCAATTCATTTTTGATTTTGTGTAGACACAAATAGTATTATAAGTGGCAAATCCATATCAGCTGCTAATTTTGGGGTTGGCATCCCCCCAAACTGCTTTTCAGGCGTCGGGTTACCTCCCTGTTGTACTTTGGTGGGAAGAGACAGAAGGAGGTTGTCTGCTGCATGAGTAATCAGCCTCACAGCTTGTGAGACTGGTGGGTAGAGTGATGTGGTGCAGCCAGGTGGGTGATGTGTCAGGGCTAGAATCTGTTTCCACCTCTGCTACTGGTCTGCTAGCTGGGACTGCCCTCCATCTACTTTGCAGTTTATAAACTACCCATCTTGGACTCCTTTTGGAAGGACATTTTTGAATGAAAGACAAGCAAATGGAGAATATTATCCTGCCAGGACTGGAATTCACTTAGGCCATCTGAGGTGTCTTTGTGGCTTTTGCCGATGTAGCACAGAACCTGTACTGCTGGTATGGCAGCTGGAGGGCAGGAGGGTTCCCTCCATCACCTAATTGGCATTAGGTGCCTATGTTGAGGCAACCAAATTCCTCTCCAGGTATCTGTACATCTTGTACCCTTTTTGCTGAGACTTTCTTGGCCAGTCTTCAGAAAATCTGCCAGAGCTGCTAACTGTGCAGTCCTGCCCCATCCTTGTACCAGCTCAAGCATTTGTCTGTTCCTTCACTGAGCCAACTTGGCTCAGTAAACTGGCAAAGAAAACTGACTGTCTTCCTGAGCAAGGCAATATGTCATTACTAAGAAATATGATGAGACTAAACCTGCTGTTTCTTATGGCTCCTTTCTCCTTGTTTAAAATCGATAGAATATTTTAAATTATGTATATTTTTATTATTAAATCCAGATGTAACAAAGCTTAAGAAAAAGCACTTCTGGTCTTAAACCTCCTCTTTCACCTCCAGTCCCCAGAATAAAATGTTTCTTGAAGTGGCTCAAAACAGATGTCTCGTCTTTGCAGTTTAAAGATATAAATTATATAGAATTATCTGTAGATTTCAACATGATAAACATCAGTAAAATTGTTTGTTTTCTTGGTTTTCCATAACCACCATCAGCAATGGTTATGAAAAGGTAAATTTAACTTGTGACATTCTTGACTGACAGTGAAAAAGTCTGTTCAGTATTTTTTGTCAATATTTGTTCAGAGGAGCAATATTGAAGTAACTTATTTTTTTTTTAAAAGCTTCCTTTTTGGATCTTCTAAAATGCATTTATTGCCAAATTATTGTGTCTGTATACACGATACCTTATTGCCTGCCAGTTAGATTCTTAGTGTGTAGCCAAATCCTTTTTGCCTTTTTTTTCTATTCTGGCAAATTTTACTTGTTATGTGTTATTACAGAGCTTGTGTTGCCTTAGCTGGATAAGTTAAGTTGTGTTCCTTTCTGTGCTTCTAGAGAATTCTCTGTTTCTCTCAGATCTTTGCTTTAGAGGTGCCATGCCAGTAGTGCTTTGGATATTCAGGGACTGCACCTTGCTGAGTCAAGCCCAGCTTTGTAGGTGAATGGGCCAGTAGGTATAGATCAAATTTTAAATACTTATCTGAGTGTACTGAAATATCAGTGCTTTTAAAGTGTGTCATTTTACAGACATGAGAGTATTTCAGATTTGCATAGAATTTATTACTGTGGATACGACATTACTTGTATGGAGTACGTCTACCTTGGTTCTCATTTTGAAGTGTCTGGTTAGTGTTAAGTGGACTGTTATTTGAGAGCAGGTTGTTGTGAAAAGTGGGTGAGGTAATTTGACTTCTTCTGAAAATGCCAAACCAAATTTTTGATTTCTTCCTTTTGTTGTGCCAAACTAAATTTTTGATTTCTTCCTTTTGTTGTGCCTTCCAGCTTAATTACAAGTTTGGCATTTTTTTTATTAGATAGCCAACAATAAGGATGCATTGAGAAAGACTTGGAACCCCAAATTTACGTTAAGAAGTCACTTTGATGGAATAAGAGGTCTCGCTTTTCATCCGGTTGAACCAGTCTTAATAACAGCTTCAGAGGACCATACATTAAAAATGTGGAATTTACAAAAAACAGCCCCAGCAAAAAAGTAAGATTTTTTCTTTCTTTTCTTCAAAATCAATTTTAATTTATGAAGAAAAACAAACATAGACACTACTTCACTGAATGACCCTCGCAGTTAATGGAAAGTGTTCCTTGAATTTAAGAGTAGAAAAATAAGCTCTCAGAGAAGGGTGGAGATGCCTAAAGAATGCCAGAAAAAATTCATGTGTGTTTGTGAATGTGTTTTGTTTGTGAAGAGGAAAACCATTCACTTTTTAATATTTTCCTTGTATATAACAAAACAAATTAATTTACTAGTGAAAATATTTGGATGCGGCCTGTTAGTGTGCTTGCATGTGTATATAAATGTATAGGATGCATTTATATATATATGCATATGTATGTATACACATACATGCATATACATGTGTACAGCTTGGAACTCTGAGATGTTGCCAGGTTCCTGTGTTCACTGTCTCTTGCAAATTGCTGGGAATTTGTGGAAATCAGAGGGAATTCGTAGCAGGGCTGGTGTGATTAAGAGAGTACGTCACAACTTTGAGGAGAACTGGGCATAACACAGAGTCCTCCCTTGGACTGATAAAGTCCAGAGCAGCAAATTTTGAAGCACTTCAGAGTCGATAGAAAAACTATGAGTCCAAAACTTCTTTGCTCCAATAGGAACAATTAATGATACATTTCATGAGATGCTGATGTTTCTCCACTTTTTCTGCTCCACTGATGTACCTACCTACTCGTATGATGGGTCTATGGACTACTTTGAAGGTCTTTAAACAAAAAAACAAATCCTATCGTGTTTTGAAAGACTGCAAATATTTCTAGACACATGAAAAATTGTGTTGGGAGAGAAAGTTGTAGGAGAAACACTGCAAAAGATGTAGCAGGGATTTTAAGAATTTAGTGATTCTGGCAGATTTTTGTAAAGCATCGTATAGGATGGTATACATGTTAACATTTTTTTCATACTTCATTTAGGAGTGCTTCTCTTGATGTAGAGCCAATATATACCTTCCGAGCACATAAGTAAGTATTTCCTGAGAAATACTGACATTTTGAGAAAGATATGATTTTTAAACAGAATTTTTAAAAAAATAATTTCTACCTTATCAGCTACTGATTTCATGTGATGCTTTTAGTTCCTATGTTGTTTAGAATATCTGCATGTGTTTTTCTCCCTTCTTCATAGTTATTTATGTCTGAAGTCAGATACACCACAATTTTAAAATGGAAAGCCTACAAATGATCCAATTCAAATTTGATTAGATGTTCTGTTCATCATTGCAGCTTTTGCCTTTTTGCCACATACTTGCGTATGTGAAATGAAACTGAAGAATGAATGCAGTGAATTTAAATCTACTGAGATGATTTCATGAAAGAGCTTTAAATCTTTTGAAAAGAGAAAAAGTCTGTTTCTGTGAAATATAAAATCCTGGAGTTTAAATTGTGATAGTTTTCACATTTCGTGTGCATGATGATTATTTTTTTTTATTGTAGTTGTGTTACCAGATATTTTGGAAGGTATTTTTGTGGGAAGTCTTGTAGCATATAATTTCATTATGCAGAATTTTTTTTTGCAATCCATGCAGCAAGTGAACTATCTAACATGGAAGTTTGAGGATTCTGAAAAATGACATTGCATTTCATGTAATGAAAATGTTCATAGTCGGTGTTTCTTTGGGGCTTTCTTCCAGTGGACCAGTGCTCTGTGTGGTGATGAGCAGTAATGGTGAACAGTGCTACAGTGGGGGAACGGATGGCCTCATCCATGGCTGGAACACGACCAACCCAAACATTGACCCCTATGACTCTTACGGTACGTTGCTGTCACACGCAGCAGCGAAATAAGTTTTGTGACAGTAATGTTATGTCTCTAAAATAGTGTAATTTATAGATAATGCTTCTGTGAAAGTTTAAATGAGCAAATGGAATGTTATCTTCAATTACTTAAAGTAACATTTTGTTTTAATGCTGATGCTGCTTGACGGCAAGATAAAATGTCATTTTCTTAAAAAAGGCCTTGATCTCATTATAGGTTTGAGAAACAGCTAGTCTAAAGTAAGGTTTTAAAAGTACAGGTCTAAACCTGATGATTTGGCAAGTACGGGAAATGCTGTTCTTTGGAAAATTTCTGTGGAGTTGAGATAAAATGGTTTTATAGTTTGAGAGCAAAGCTATTAATGTTGATTAGAAACAACTAAAAAGGTCCAATTTGGTAAAATTTACCAGATTTGACTGGATGTCAGCCTTGTGTCTAAATAATTTCATGATTTATTTTTCACTTCCTGTAGCTTCAGATGCAGTTGGCCTCAAAGCTAACTTCTGCATAAAAGGGACTGCTGTGGCATTAATGGCTATTTGAAAGTGAATTTTAGCAATGAAGTGTGTTTTGCCAAATTCAGTACTGTCCCTCCTGCTGAAGCATTATTTTGTTCCTTTAGTTGTAAACTGGGTAATTGAATGCCATGTGTGCTGCTGAAATTCAAGCATTGTAATGCCAGAATAATTAAGACTTCTATATTGGTATGATGTGATTGATCTTGGAGTTTTTTATGGATTATCTTCCAAAGGTTGGTGCCTAAACACAGGCTAAGATACAGCTACTAACTTAATTCAGATTTTGTTTTGAAATGTATTTTGCTGTGTTTATTTTACAGATCCTTCTGTTCTAAGAGGTGCTTTTGTAGGCCATACTGATGCAGTGTGGGGTCTGGTTTACAGTGGAGCTCACCAGCGTCTGCTATCCTGTTCAGCAGACGGCACTATACGTTTATGGAAAGCTACAGAAATTGCTCCAGCTCTCAATATATTTAATGATAATCAAGGTACAGAAAATTGCCCTACCCTGAGGTTCATCACTGCTCAGACTGACGTAATTTTGGCAACTGAATGGAAATACTTCTTGCACTTCTTTCTGAGTTTTGTATCTTTATGAATGTTTTTGGGAAGAGTAAGTTTTGTGACCTGTCTACATGCAAGGGGACAGTTAGATACATCTAAAAGCCAACTGCTGCAGATAATCTGCTGATGTTACTAGCACCATGGAAGATAATGTATTAACTCCATAATTCACAGTCAAATTTAAGTTTCCACTAGGCCCTTGCTTTTAGTTTATCCAGAATAAAAAGCCCTTTCTTCCCCCAGTGGAAGTTTGGAGTAACCAGTGTTTCACCTCAGGCCAGTGTCATTGTACCTTCCAGATTTGTTCCTTGTGCCTCTAACACAGATATTCCACTTGAATTTCTGAGTTTGCACATTAACTAAACAACAATAACCTAAACACTGCTAGTTGGAAAAAAATACTTCTTTGGAGTTAGTTACTGAAATGTCATGCACAAGTGAAAATCCCACTGGTTAGAATCTAATTTCTGGTAGTTGCTGTCTGTCTGAGTCAGAGTGCTCCAGAACAAGCCCATTGACATTGCTAAACTCTCTTAGAGCTGGTAGTCATTAAATACAGCCCATGAGCTGAGACAGTTCCTTGTCTCTTCAGAAAAACTTTGAGGCAAAATAAACCTTGTCACAGCTGAACATGTCAAATTTTACTGTAAAGCTGGTCAGGTATGCCATTATTTGTTAGTTAAAACAGACTGAGCAAAATAAAAACATTCCACGTATTTTAGTTTTTGCAAAACTATGTTTCTAAAGGTTGGCAGGCTTCTTATTGCCAGCTTGCAATGAGAGCTTCCTGGTAGAGTTTAGGGGTTTGTTACTGTGAGTCATTTTGGTTTTAATTATTAAACTAAAGGGGAAGGAGGAGTAGTCTTGCCTCATAGAACTACTATTAGGGCTTTTTTTGTATTCTAAACTGGAATGAGGCCCAGTTGTGAAATCCAAAGACTGAAAACTCAGTTTTCCTATGGCTTATTGATAACCTTGAACAAACCCCCTAAAATATCTGTCATTCATTATTGAAGACCTTTAGATTAACCATTGAAGGCTTACCAGGAAGCTGAAGATAAGCATGCATGGCAGTGATCGAAAAGGTCACTTGAGAAACTGTGTGTTTTCTTCTCCCACCAATCCTTTTTGCCTTTTTTTTTGAATACTTGTTAGTAACTACTGCCATTCCTGAGAAATATTCCTGAAGTCCTGTGTCTCAGAAAGATATTTCTTCCATGAATCTTTAGAGTTTACAGGGATGTGATGGTATTCCTGTGTTATCTGAATCTATGATCCAACATTAGTTTGCTTAAAATTCAGTTTCTCACTCTCTATCTTTTCCTCCTCCTCCTGGCATCTGTTGCAACTGGTGTTGTTCTTTCACACAGCAGGTGGTGAACAGGACATTTGAGAAGAAAAATCCTAAGGGATCTATCCTGTGTCCAAGCTTTGCTGATTTGACCTTCTGTCCTGTAGTGTGTAGATAGCCACAGTATAAGGAGAGCAAATATATACCACTATAGGCAGGAGCTTTGAAATACAAGTTTTTAATGTATTTATATAACTTCAAATGATGACAGTTCCAGTGTGTAAAATCTGCACCCAGAGAACTTTGGTGTTTTTTTAAGCTCTGATTTTGTCTAAGTTAATTACAACAACATTAATCATCTGTCAGTCAGTTGTTGTACCACTTCAATTTTATGTCCTTTTACTTAAAGCAATAGACTTTGGTGGAGTCTTTTTGAGAATTGCTGTTACAATTAAAGGAAGGAAAAGGGACTAGGGAGTTCTTGCTTTCTTAATTTCAAAGTAAATTTCTGCACAGCTGCAGTTCTAGATACAGCATCTTTGTAAAGAATGTTGTTGATACACATGTCCAAAAAATAGAATTAAAATAGGTATCATACAGGGAAAGCTATTTAGATTGGCCTAATTTATATTTTAGAATGGAACATTTTCTTTCATAATCATGGTCCTTTTCATGTTGAAATGCTTACTTTTTTTGTAAAGGGTTTTTTGTTTAATTTTTTTTTTCTTTACACCAACTACATCTTCTCTGCATTGTTTTCTAGAAATGGGAATCCCTTCATCAGTAGACCTTGTGAGCAGTGACCCAAGCCTCATGGTAGCATCATTTAACAGTGGACACACTAGCATTTTTAACATGGAGACACGGCAACGAATTCTTACCCTGGAATCCAGTATGGATACTAGTATGTATCAAAAACTCCAAACCAACCAAAGGAAAAAAAAAAATGCTTTTTTAAGATTCGTACTGTTGATAATCTTTTCAATGTTTCCAAAGAATCAGGCAGTGTCATGAGAAATTATAAGATGGATTGTGTTACAAGCTGTGTTCTGAGATATAACAGTAAATTATTACTACTACAGCAGACCTCATGGGTATTGCAGTAGCAGAAGAGTGTGCATACTTTTGAAATAAGATAGAAGAAACAAGCTCACACTCTGAATTCCTCTTCAAGGGATAGTAGCATGAGAAAAAGCACAAGTTTCTTTACACAATACAGCTTTGTGATCTTTGCAGATTCAGTATATCCATTTTCTCTTCAGTCCAAAATTGCAATATAGAGGCAATATCAGGAAAATTGAACATTAAATTTATTTAAAAAATGGGTATGTGTGTCAATTATTTTTTATTTTTCCTCAGAGGTATCCATTGTCTAAGCTTTATTGCACTCTTGGCTCATTTGGACTTGGGCTTTAGTTGAAATTTTCACTGTAGGAGGGAAGCAAAGCTCCAGTGAAAGAGCATTAGTTCACAAGGTCCCATATAATGCCTTGGATCATGACAGTGACCAATACTAGAAGTTTTAGAGGATACTGTGAAGAGCCTGCTATCAGTAAATTATTTTACTCTGACTTTACAAAAGAGACCAGAATGAACTAAAGCATAAGGTTTCATATTCAGGCCACAATGGCAATACATTGAGTCTTTTGAAATTTTGATACTTCTTCTCCCACCCTTAGGGTTTTATGTCACTGGATTCTACTATTTAATTACATTTTTTCAAAGGACTAAGCCATTTGTGTTGGCTTCGCTTGTATATTTTAAAATATTTAAATGCCTATCATTTTATAAGAACAAATGGAAAGTGCCACATCTCTTCTTTAGGTTATTCCTTACTGTGCTGGATTTATTCTTTTAACCCACATTTTTGGTCCTTTCTAAAAGAACAGTTCTAAATTAGTTAATGCAATTTAGTGGAAGCCACCTTTCTTCTTCCCTCCCCTTCTCCCTTCTATTTTTTTCACCTCCTCCTTGCTGTAATTCCGTAATGTTCCTTTAGGAAAACAAGACCCTGGTATGGCAACCAGCAGTCCCTCTTTAGTATCTTTAGTTATGTAACAGTACTATAAAGCTTACATGTATTTTAAAGAAATAAATTATTATTTCTGCAAGAACTAGACAAGAGGAAAATGTCACCTGAAATGCCCTAACAGACTACTTAGGGACGCTGGTGCTCCATATAAGCCTCTGTTTGGCATTTTCCAGCTGTGGGGATGGCTGGTTGTGATGAAGATTCATGTGCTTGTAGTAATTTTAGGGGACTTTATTAATATGAATTTGGAGTTTTTTTCCTTAATTTAGACTTTCATAATTTCTAAGTGTCCTGTGATGCTTTATGGTTCAGATTTTTATAGAAAGGTGTAAAATGAGATCTTTACCATTTTAATAGCAAGTGAACCTTCAGTAGTATTCTATTTTGCTTATTTTAGTAAGAATTTTGATTAAATGATGTGAATGTTCTTTGGAAGCAATTTAGCTAAATACAATCAACATGAAACACAATGTCTGTATTTTGATGTTCTTGTAATGACTGTTTGTGGGTTTTGTCATAATCTATGCCTCTTAAGACCTCTCTTGCATTAACATGTGCATCACAGGAATGCCTGGATTTCTAACCAGAAAATTCCAATATTTTTTTTTCTCTCTATCTATATATATTTTTTCTATGTATCTATATATATGCATGCTCTTTCAGAATTACTGAAGGCAAGGAAATTTGCTCTCCTATGAATAGTCTAGCATCTTTTTTTTTAATAATAATTTCAATACATATGTATCAGATAATAAGAGGTAGATTTTGTTTCCTTCAAACATACTGCCTGCAGTGTTTATCTTCCTGTCCTGTATGTTATGAAGAAAGTTTGACTTGGCAAGAGGAGGAATGTGTGTGAATGAGGTGTTTTCACTCAGTTTTTGGTTTCACTTGTTTGCATGATGTGCCTATATAAAACCGTGTCCAAAAGCTGGACTTTATTTAGCATATATTTGTTTTATGTATGTCTCTGTCCTGTGTAGTTTGGAAAGTATTTTAGAGGAAAGTGCATAACATAATACTAACTGAGAGTTTCCAGGATATATAAGTAATTTTGCACATTAGATTGATTACATGTTTATTTCTTGGTAGCAATCTTTCAAAGAACTTAGCAATTTACATAGACTGATGTGTGTTGGTTTTTTCTTAGCAGTCAGTTCTTCCTGTCAGATAAACAGAGTCATCAGCCATCCAACTCTTCCAATTAGTATCACTGCTCATGAAGACAGACACATCAAATTCTACGACAACAATACAGGTACGCATCTTTCCAGCAGGTCTTAGTCATAGCCATTGTATAATATAAATCATATTCCCAATTTTGCTATGATCAATATTATTCACACAAATGCTGAGGGATGTCAAGAATTGGATAGCCTCTGAAGCAGAAATCTCTCATCACCAACAGAGTCTAAAGATTGCCAGCCCACTTAAAGCTTTGTTGGCAAAGTGATAAGGAGCTTGCATCTCTTTCTCCATTCTTTTAGAATGCCCTGTGTATGGGGTTTATAAATATTTAACATAAAAGGTATTTTTTTCCAAATCTCCATGTTCTTATGTTTATGTTTCTTTTATTGGTTGTCTGTATTATTTTGCTCTGGAGAGCAGGAACCTCTGGCTCTCCTTTAAGTGCTTCCTAGACCTCTGCCACATTTGACCCATGATTTCTTATTTTTAACATGAAATTCTTGCTGTAATTATAATAAGCTGTGTTAAAACATTAATTCTCGCTGAGACATCTAACATTATTCCCTGTTCCTATGTAGTTTATATTCATTGCTTTTAGTATGCTCAGCCCCTGCCTTCCTTCCCATTCAAGATCTTACCTGAGAGCTCGAGAATTACCTGAGAATTACTTAATTTGCTTAAGGGGCGGATATTTAAAATGCACAGTGATTGTAGCGTCAAGGTGGCTTAAAGCAAAGGTCTCAAACATTGACGATACTGCTTCTGTGCTTAGCTTGGGAACTGTTGACATTAAAATGCTGACTTCTTGTATAGTTTTAGTGATTCAGTCATGGGACAAGATCTTGTGTTTATATCAGCTGTGGTAGGGTCATAAGCAGTGAATACAGATAACAAAGTTAACTGCAGAAAATAACCTAAATAAATCTTTTCTTTCAAAGGAAAACTGATCCACTCCATGGTAGCTCACTTAGATGCAGTTACAAGTTTAGCTGTTGATCCTAATGGCTTGTATTTGATGTCTGGCAGTAAGTACATTCAGATTTCGTTTTCTTTTTCTCATAATGCTGGCAGGCATGTAAATTATAAAGAAAACTGTTTTCCCTTTCTCTAGGCCACGACTGCTCAATTCGCTTGTGGAATCTTGAAAGCAAGACCTGCATCCAAGAATTTACTGCTCATCGCAAAAAATTTGATGAGTCCATTCACGATGTGGCATTCCACCCATCCAAATGTTATATTGCCAGTGCAGGAGCAGATGCCCTGGCTAAAGTGTTTGTATGACGGAGTGCTTCCCATTCAACTTTAGCTTTGTATATATTTAACCAGCTGCACAAAAGAGAAGAGGAGGGCATGAGTTGTTTTATCTTGCCCTGTAATTCAGAGAATGTTTGTAAGTGTTTAGTTTTGCAGGGTGCTCTTTTCTAAATTGACGTTTGTTCTGGTTTCTGTGAGCTCAGCTGGTGCTGAGAGCTTGGAATCTCTCAGTTTCAAATAGGTGGGAAAAAAAAAGCAAAAA